TTATTAGTCAGATTTGTAATCTGATAACCACTGTCTCAAAAAATTGCATATTATGGTAAGGAAAAGTATGTAATATAAAATACTAATTTTATTGATGGATACCACTATCATCTGAAATAGATTTTGTGTTAAGTGGTGATCCATGTTGCCCTGTTTCAGTTGAAATTACAGTTGTTAGTAAAGACTCCCTCTATTCACAATAGTTGGCACTGACTTCACCGACAAGCGGCAGTCACTTGGGCAATATGATTTGCTTGCAGACTAAAAGCCACAGAGCAACATAATATGCTATCCTTAGCTGTGAAGTTCAGTTTTAATATAACCAATTATCTTTATGTAACTAGAAATATGCTGTGACACTGTTTTTTAATTTCTTTAAAAATAAAATTTTCTATAGCAAAGAAAGTGGTGGAGTGAAAGAAATAAATAAGGTGCTAACTTAACTGCAGAATAGATATAGTAATGTTTTCAAACTTCTTAATTTTTTTTTTAATGTCAGTGATTCTAATCCTAATGTCTGATTATTTGGCAGCAGAACCCAAAGGTTCAATGTTCCTTCTACTAAAGGCTGCCACTGGACTCAGTTCTGGCCTAATACCATCCACCTCCGTCACAATCTACTTCCTTGAATCCCCACCATAACTCTGTATCTCATATCCCTATCTGCATCCAGACGCATGAAAAAAAATGCCAAATTACACTGTTATATTTTCAAGAAATGGCTATGTCAAGTGTTGGATAATTGATATAAGACAATACTTTCAGTTGACAGAAGTGCATATGTAATCAAATACCAGTTCTGTACTTTTTCTCCATTTGTAATTCAGAGAGGAATGTAAGTATGCTCACTGACAGATAAAATAAAATTCTACATACTAGTGAAATGTTTTAAAAAGTAGTGTAAAGTTGATTATCAAAACTCAATACAGTTACTATTCATGATACGTATGTAATGGCCATCTTGTAGTGCACTCAATTTCATATGTCGCTTCTTACTACATGTTTCGGCAACATAGTGCCATCTT